GAAGGTGTCACTCAGCTTCATTTCTGCCAACAAGGCGTCAAGGTGAAAGCCAAAAATTATCAAAGTGACATTCTAGAGACTGTTGTGAAACCCCTGTCTAATACCCTATTCCATAACAAGTATTGGGTTTTCCAGCAAGACTCGGCGCCATCCCATAAGGCTAAAACCACCCAAGCTTGGCTGAAGGAAAATGTGCCGGCCTTCATTGCGGCGAACGAATGGCCCTCCTCCAGCCTTGACCTCAACCCGCTGGATTATTCTCTATGGACCGAATTAGAGCTCAGAGCCTGCCGAAAGTCCCACCCAAACTTGGAGTCACTTAAGCGAGCTCTTGTCCGAGAAACGAAGCGAATTCTTCTGAAAAAGATTCGTGCCGCCATTGATGACTGGCCGAATCGTCTAAGGGCATGTATTAAAAACAGGGGTGGTCATTTTGAATAATAATTATATTTAATTTTTACTTACTATCTACTTAATGTTCGTTATTGTTTTTATAAATATAAGTTTATTATTTAAAAAGATATGCAACTTTTAATTTGTCTCAAAACTTATGAACACACGAGGTACACTTTCGCTTACATTGTTCAAATTTTACCAAGGACCCCTAATTTTTTTCAAAATGAAATGTAGCCTCTATCAAATTGAAAGGATGTAGCATTCTATTGGTAAAAGATTTTTTTAAATCGGCCCATTACTTTTTGAGCCTATTCATTACAAACATACAAAAATAGGTACAAATCTTTCCGTTTTATAATATAAGTATAGATGTGTGTACATAAATAAATAAATATATTTTTGTCATTGTAACTGTATGATAAGCATATTTTATTCTTTTTCTACTGATAAAAAACACAGAGGGTGTATAAGGATATGCACAAATTTGCCTATTACCAAGTTATTTTGTGACAGATTGTATCGTTATCATAAATTATTATGCTTGGTTAAGAATCGGTATCCCGGTATCCCGGAATTCCGCAAACCCGTAAATCTCGATAAATCGATTCTGTCGAAGAACGTGGATTAAAATGTGAGGAAATATTCTGAAATATTTATTGAAATGAAACAAGATGGAATGAATAATGTTATTTTGTCCGTTGATTAATGAAATACAGAAATAAATCCTTTCGAAGATGTATTTGAAATAATGGATACAAAATAAGTTTTGAATTTATAAAGATATACACATAATGTTGTCTGAATTTTCTTAGTTAGATTTAATAGGTAATCCGAGATCTCCTGCTGTCCTACAGTTTATTTCTAAGGTCAAAGTATGTTCCTAGTACCGTTTATAGTGTTTTATGTACAATGTACAGTCAAATAAGTTAATTTGTATTTTAGGATCGGAGAGTAAAGTTCTTTAAGATGAGAAAAGTACATCCTCCGTTCAGGCGAGGTGATCCTGGCTGGCCTTTCTGCCTAACAGTTGTGCGTTGGGATTATCTATTCATATAAGCTTCAAATGTGCGATGTTGGATTTCATGCTCTGCTTTGGTTGCACTTTATTTCAAAAACACTGGCCATTGGAACGTTCTTTTACTGTAATAAACATTTCAATGCCGGTTTGTGTAAACGGGGACGCCATTACCGCTTACCGGTACCTACTGCGTCGTCGCGTGCGCTTGAGGTTATTAGCGAATGTGACATATGTGATGTAAATGTCAGTGTCAAGCATGCGTTTAGTTCGCGAGATTTATTTATTGTATAAATAATAATATTTTTTTCCATCACATTTGTTATTTTAATTTTGAAAATTGTTAGAATAATATCATTATATATATATATTTTTTATTTTATTTTTATTCTATTATTATTATTATATGTATTACATTATAATAGTCATGGGCAAGTGCTGAAAATCAGCGCCACGACTCGAGTGCACTCGGGTCACGGCATTTAAGCTGAGCTCTGGCCTTTTTGCGCCGTCTTCACTGTATTTTATTTTTGTGTTATTGTACTTTGTGACGGTGTGCAAATAAACGATTTTTCTTTATTCTTCTTCTTCTTTCTTTCTTATGGCGTCATCCGTAGATATGTATGTCCTCGTCTATGTGGGACATATGCCATCTGTTATTTTGTTAATCTGTCGCCACAGTATATAAAAGCAGGAAAATAAAAATTAATATTATTTTTATTTTTCTTTACAAAGTCAATACTTTTGTAAGCTATGATCGACTCAGTAATAGTTGCAAGTCTGTCTTGAATCAGTCATTATTTTCTTACCTGGATATCATGTATCTTGGTTGCCTGTACCTATATCTACAGACAGTTTCTGATTACATAGGACCTATTATGTAACTGGCAATGGAGTGTTACATTGCCACTTTGTCCTGACGACAATCTTATTAAGTAAAGGTCATGAGAAAGGAAAGGTGATAGCAAAAAGTAACTCTAATGGAATTTCGGATATATCAATTTTAGAAGAAAGTATTCTTGCTCTCTTAGTAAATAATAATGATTATTATTTATTTCACACCATGTCCATACTCTTGTTAGGAATATTATTTAACTCGTCGAGTACCGGTTTTGTAGACACAATTATAGAACAATAGGTTGCGGTCACCGGTGACCGCTTGGTGTTTGACAGTTTAACTTAAAAACTAGTAGGTAATAGTAGAACAAACAAATAACAAACAAAAAACAATGAAATCTTTCTTTATAATATTAGTGTAGATGTAGATTATTTTTTGGGTGTTTTAAAGAAACATCTGCCTCGTTGGCAGAGTGGTCACAAGTGTGACTGCCGGGCAAGGGGTCTCGGGTTCGATTCCCGGGTCGGGCAAAGTATCACTGGTTTTTTTTTAATTCTCAGTAGTAGCACGGAGTCTGGAATTGTGCCCGGTATATAGCAATAGGCTCACCCTCTATTACATGGCACTCATAACATAAATAGTAAAATGTGCGTGTTATTTTATACAGTGACATAATGTTCACCTGCCTACCCCTTCGGGGATAAAAGGCGTGATGTTATGTTAGGTGTTCTTTAGGTGTTTCCAGATACTTTTAAGAGCTTTGTTCGATTTTAGGAAGTTCACTCTTTCATAAATTATTTATTCTACAAAAAAGGAACCCTATATATAAATTAATTCAATCTTTTGACATATCATCCCAAAAAAAAAGAATATTGAAAAATAAGGAAATCATACATAATTATAATAAGTAAATTAATTTTGGGAAATTCTGAAAAGTCCTTTATTTACAAAAGGTTTTCAGTGGGAAGGCTTTCCGGACAATCTTTTATATTCACCTCTTTGCCAATGAGTTTAAAAATATATCACAATATATTAAAAATGTGTTTCAACGAAATGCCTTTATAAAATTAAATGGTATTTTTATTTATTTGTTTATTATTGTGATGTTAACACGGCTTTACACCAATTACATCAACACACATACAAAGAGAAAGCAAAGAGAATCAAACAGTTACAATAACAGAAAAAGAAGAAGAAAAAAGAAAAAAAACATAAATAAACATCACATAAAAAATACAATTAAAATTCAATAAAAAAGAAAAAACAGACAATTACAATAGTCGATGACAATATGTGATATGTTTTTTTGTAAGAAAATTAAAACAAAATTAGCGAATGGAATGCTTCGTCTCTTGGCGAAAATATGAGAGGTAGCATAAGGTTTTTTTATTTATTATAGGGTGTAAAAGGAACGCTTCAGAAAATGCAGACTGAAAAATTTAGTTTTTACAATTTTTATTCCTTTTTTATTTATGCAATTCATTCGCGTTATTCATGCAATATCACCTTTGAGCAGTTGATTACAATACAAATATTATTACATAATAGAAATATTATACTTCATTACTTTGTTTAAAAAAATACTGATTTCAAAATAGGAGGATAACGTTCTCCTTAATGAACCCTAAAAGACCAAAACAATCACACCGTAAATAAGATGGGTCGACGTCTGGCCACTATCTCACCTAGTATGTGGCCTGCGATAGAGCACGGCTGCCCATAAACAATCTATACCTACGTATAAAAAAATCTAACATGGATCAACGTTTTCATAAAACAATGTTAATGACTCATACGGACTTATTTTTCTCGATTGTTACAGTCAGTATCAGTGACAGTGTCGGTGCTGACGCTGACTTTCATCTCCGTGGACCGCTGGTACGCCATCTGCTTCCCGCTCAAGTTCAAGTCCACCACGGGACGTGCTAAGACCGCCATACTTGTTATATGGACGTTGGCTTTGACTTTCAGTAAGTATATATATTTATTTTTACGTTGTAACGAAAAAGGATATAGGTATGTATAAACACGATGCGTATAATTAACCTAAAATTGAATGAGAGTAAAGAGTATGGAGTTTTTGGCTCGTTCTTCTCCATAGGAATCTACATCTTAGAACGAGCAAATAATTTCATCAGAGGACTGACCGACAGACGGTTTTTGTCGTTCATAAGAGTCTTCTTGGTCTAATTGATTTTGACTTTGACTGTGCCGCGGGCGGTAAACTACAATATAACTTTATACACCGGAAAATCCTTACTAATAAGTGACTCGATTTTTCATTGAAGTTGGAAAGCCTCTAAAGGCCAGTAGATAAATACACCGTCTATAATATAATGAAAACAAAATACTATCTATTTAATTAATAAGCATACTTATCTATAAGCTCGTCTATGGGAAAATAATAGAAAATTATCTATAAACTGGATTATACCTTTTATGAAATAATTTATTTTGCGTAACAAAGTGTGGGCTGGTATAAAATACTATAATGAATACTTTTACTCACTGATAATATGCCGTCGTAATTGTCGTGGTGAAAACTTTTCCGTGCGAGAAGAGGCCTTTAGTCGGCAGTGGTCACTTATACACCGTGATATTTTAATGGTTGTTTTCCCACAGTAAAATGATTCTATTTTAGTAGTACAATAGATTGAGAAAGTTGTTTTTAATTTAAATAAAAAAATAGCAGTTTTACGATAGTGATACACGAAACTTGAAAGAAACCGCGAACCAATAGTACCGCCGCGACCGGCCACCGGCCGCTGTCATTGTCGCTCGCGCTTATCAAAAGGCTGATAACTCAGTATTTACTAACAAGTGATTTCCATTTTCCCTTCATACTTTAACGGGCTTAGGACCGTCGTAAATACTTTTTAACTACACTTACTAAACACAAACATAAAACAAAATTTAATCAAGAGATATTATCTTGTTTATTACTGAATTTGGGAAAGTATTTATGGCGTATTTAAAAAATGGGAATCAACGTATTTACAATGATTTTAATCACCTATCTTATTGTTTTATTTACAAATGTACAAGTACTTACACTTCCCGGTAACGGAGCAATTGTTCAAAGTGTAAGCCACCGCGTTCCACACACAATCGTGCACGTTTTAACTGATTGGCTTTCAATTTTAATAATGTGTCTCTGTCACGTCTAATCACATCAAAAGCGTCCACTATCGCACTTTTTAACGCGTCGCGAGTTTCGTACTCTTGCCGATACACAAGGCGTTTGAGATTAGACCACAAATAAAAGTCTAGTGGAGTAAGATCCGGGCTTCGTGGTGGCCATGGCACTGGCCCGCCACGACCGATCCAACGCTGGGGAAACACCGAGTCGAGGTGCTCTCGCACGGCGCGCTGATAATGCGCAGGGCAACCATCGTGCTGGTAATACAGGCCATCCATGGGCACTGCTAACGGAATGTCATCTAGTAAGTCCGGGATAACACTACGTAGCATTTGTAGGTACGTTTCACCGGTTAAGTGTCCTGTCACAAAATGCGGACCAATTAAGCAGCCGTTTATTATACCGGCCCACACGTTTACACTAAACCGCACTTGATGCGCACATTCCCGAATAACGTGTGGGTTATTAAAAGCCCAAAAATCATAATTCGCCCTCGCGTACAATTGCACCATAGCTACGTACTCCACATTAGAAAAAACGTAATGGCGATCCATTTTGGCGGCAATAATATTGTACTGCGCTTGCGTGGTTGCGCGGACGGCGTTCGCGGTGCGACTGGTGTGAATGAAAGCGATGCGAGGCGATGCGGGCCGATGCGAGTGACAGAGAGCGCGGTGGTTGCCTTTGTTGTTTGTCGTGAGGCGATCCGCTCGCGCGCGCGTGCATTGCAGTTTATGCTGTATTACTTAGTCCGAGAGATTATTTTACTATGAACATTGATTTGACGTCACATTTTAGAAGAGAAACTATCGTTTCTCATGCTTTCGAGTTGATGATTATTTTTTTGAGTATATGAGGAGAAAAAAAATTATTATTTCAAAAAGTAACTTGCATTATTCGATAGTACTACTAAAGGGAAATCGTTCTGCTGCGGGAAAACAACCATTAATATGTCAGCGTGTATTATAGGCAGTTGATGATGATGTTGATGAGAGCCCTCTGGAGAGCAGAAATGCGGTAGCCCCTATTGGAAGACCCATTTCAAGTGTGAGAGAGCCATGCTTCGGCGCGAATATCTGGCACTCGACCGGAGTGATACCACGACCGAGCAGAAAACCGACGTGAAGCAATGCTTGCGTCGTGTTTCGTCATATGAGTAAGGTTACTGGAGGCCCAATTACAACCGCCCTCTTCCCTAATCTCCCCGATTCCTGAACCCCAACAATCCTCAAATTCCTAATCCCCAAAAGGGCGGTAACGTAACGCTTCTGGTGTTTTAAGTGTCCTTGGGCGTCGCCGATTGCTTACCATCAGGTGACCCGTCTGCTCGTTTACCGATTTATCCCATACAAAAAACGATGTTATCTGGTAAATAAAAGCCTTAATTCTCATCGCTGAACATCAACTCACGTTTTATCTGCATCCATATGCTCCACACATTTTTAGTCACCGTTAGTCCTTTTAGCCTTTGAGGAGTGACATGGCATTCTCACCTACCGCCTTACGTAGGTACTTACCGGACATGGGAATTTCGGGAGGTATTCGAACCGCGAAGGACTTAACGGGTTGTCGGGGCTACGGCTCGAAGTGTAGGAGTAGGAACGGGGTGGTTTTTAGTCAGTAAGAGTCTGACACTCTCTCCCACCTCACCCAGGCGGTAGAAGTTGTTCGATGATTTTCCCCCCTAAAAAAAAACAGATATTAAACGTAAACTCAACGGGTACACTTCATTAATAGATAGACCGCATCATCGCATACCACCAGGCGAGATAGTGGTCACGCGTCGGTCCATAAAATATAAAGAAAAAGATGTCCTGACCTGTCTGTGCTGAACATAGACCTCCCCTCCAGATCTACCAGTTGGAAGCGATCTTGAGAAAAATGACCAAAAAAAATCACAATCTACTAAAACACCTTTAGCTTCCCCTTTCACAGAAGTTGGTAGTTAATTCTTACCCAATCAACATTACCAGCCCTTGGAGCTAATATTGAGCCTGTCTTGTCCAAATTGATGAGGGTATACGTTTTCTAGTCAAACAAAACTAGTGTTAATTCTCTTGTCTCCTCGAAACTATTGTGAGGGTAATCTTGTTCTAACAGATGATGAGGGAAAGAGATGGATGCTTCGAACAATCAAATTGATTTGCACTATAGTTTCTGTTTATTTTACATATTTGCATGAATTTTACAGATGTAAGCGCTGCAAATTCTTGTGATTAGGTTAGATTGTTAATTTTATTCGAGTAATAGAAAATTAGCTTATTCTTTAGAAATAAAGCATACCTTGAAAGGTGCTCCCTCACTGAGAGCATTCATGTGGTATATAACGTTACAGATTTGAGCACTACATCAGTGAAGGAGAAGAACCGAACATTACAATGCGCACCTTGTAATGATACAAAGTCAAAGTCAAAACATTTATTTCAATTAAACCATATTTCGGTACTTTTGAAACGTCAACAAATACAAAATAATTTGTAGTCTTTCAGTCAGTCTATGAAGCTAGGTGAAATGTAGATTCCAAAATGTACAATGTATAATATCTTGATACAACTTGTAACATCAATGTCTGAAATCTTGCTATGAAATGCTCAAAGTCGAATCAATATATTACATTACACGCAAATGCTCGCTAGTCAGTGAGGTACCTATTATTGCAATGTAATGCCCAAAGTCGAATCTGTAATGTTACATTACACGCGAATGCTCCCGATGAGGGACTTTAGGCTTTACCCTTAATTTAAATCGAATTGTTAAAACTGTCTGTGATATTGAAATACAGATCTACATTAAAATGAAAGAGAAAAATTGTAAACAATAAAATATCAATAAATGGCACCTGGTACTTGACCAAAAGTTCAAATACAATAAAAAAACCGTAATCCCAAGCTATTTGAAACTTTGATGTGAATAATTTAGAACGGTGTCATGTACCTAAAGTCTTACCCAACAAAAAGTTAGGTGTTACCCCAAACCCCGGGGTAAAGTTGGCTTAAATTAAAAACTTTTTTCTACAAAACTCGGCATAATGAAACCGTTTCGTTCGAGTTCATTTAAGATGTATCAAGAATGATTAATTGGCTTTAAGAGCAACAAAAAGTATTAGAAATTATGAAGTTTTGTTGTTTTCTTGTTTCTTGTTAGTTAAAAGTTTCTTGGTAACTTGGGGAAGTATTTGTTAGGCGTTAGGTTTCAGCTCGACTATCTGGCAGATTCCTTATTTGGCTGGCATCTGAAGACTGCCGAACAATATTTAGGTTCGGTTTAGGCAAGATTTTTTTTCAGGCAAGAGTTCTTAAGATACAATTGGTTTTTATGGGATTTCGAAAAATCGTAGCATGAAGTCTTGCAATTTATTGTGTTCGGTGTACAGCAATGGGTTCGTCTATTACTCTGGGCTTAAAACAACTGATATAAGTGATTACATTGTAAATATACATCTCTGTGAATTTTCTACTATTAAAACGCAGTGTTATGATTTTTAATAACGACTACAAACTTTACTGCACAGATAATACATACACTGTATTCCACAGATATTATGGTAGTGTAATAGACAATCAATATTACACTTCTCATGTCGTAAAATAATTGACACTAGTGTGTACTTTTACCCGAGAGTACGGCGCGTCGCGTTCCGCGCGCGCCCTTCAAAGAGCCATCAGACCACCACAGATGGGGCCCAACAGGACCAATGCCGATTCGGAGTCGCGGATAACCTAATGGGTTACCGGGGCTCCGGCTCGACGTGCAGGAGAAGGAACGGGGTGGTTTTTACTCAGTAAGAGTCTGACACTCCCTCCCGCCACACCCAGGCAGGAGCAGTCATAA